GGTTTCTAACTCTCTATCCCCTCTCCCTGCCTCTCTGTAAAAAATCAATAAAATATATTTTTTTAAACATTAAAAAGCATGAAAATGAAATGAAAAATTATTTAAAAAATAAAGTATGGAGAACTCAATCAACAGTGAAGAAGTGGCAGTGTGTGCAGACTACTCAGTAAGTACGTGGTAAGGGAGAGAGTCTTTTATTTTTTAAGGACCAAGGGACATCTGTTTGTAGAAATGGAACACAAAGTGAAGAAACAGGAAAGAAAAATAAAATAGCAAGTAGAGTCAATAAAAGCTGCTGTTTTAATTATGTTTTTATTCTTTATGGGGTATCTTTGGGTTAATATAACTGTATCTTAGAAAATTCAGAAAAAAGCGGTCCTGGAAAAAAGAAATGTAGACAGTTTAGTCTCTTTCCCCAGTAACATAAGAGTAGAGGGATAGATTTTAAACCATAGCAAACACCCAGAAGTCTCATTTGGCTGTGTAAATTTCATGTAATACTAATATGTCCTTTTCTGTTACTGTCCCAGATACAATCACTCCTCAGGCAACCAGTAATAATTGATGTGCTTAAATTAAGCCTTACCTGAAGAGCCTGGTCAATAGAGGCAACTGGATGCAACATGATGAATAATATGAAAACATACAAAATAATCACAGACAAAACAAAAAGATCTGAAAAAGAAAGTAGCACAATTAAATTAGAAAGTTCCTTTATATAAAAAGGCATATAATAACTCGTACACTGTCAATTCTGTTAGTTCTAAATTTGATTGTGAATACTGAATGTTGCTATTTAGGTTGCTTAAGTATATAAAGTATGCTCTATATTACTTCCTAGAGTATGATACATTACTTAGGACCAAAGTATTCATTTATGTGATGTAAAAATAAACAGCATTTAAAAAACTAAGAGACCTTTATGAAAATTTGTATTTCTCCCAGATAAACAGCTACTTTGTAAGATAATCAAGCCAGTCATAACTCACAAATAAGAAACTAGACTATTTATGGCAAAACGAGATCATCATTTAAACATGTATGCAATGACAATTATTGTTGATTGTACTAGTAAAAATGCTGAATAACATTTATTCTCAGTATTAGATACATTATAATCCTAAATAGAGGCATTCTAAGTTGAATGTAAGTATATTTCTGCTAGGTGAATACCACTATTTCATTGACTTCTGTGAAAGTATTTCCACAGAAAATGTTAAAACCTAAAAAGTGAGCTGATTGCCATAACTGGTTTGGCTCAGTGGATAGAGCATCCGCCTGCAGACTGAAGGGTCCCAGGTTCGATTCCGGTCAAGGGCATGTACCTTGGTTGCGGGCACATCCCCAGTAGGGGGTGTGCAGGAGGCAGCTGATCGATGTTTCTCTCTCATCGATGTTTCTAACTCTCTATCCCTCTCCCTCCCTCCCTGTAAAAAATCAATAAAATATACTTTTTAAAAGAGTGAGCTGATTTATTATGTTAACTGTGGGTTACCCCTATGGCTTGCTATGATAGCTAGGAATAGTAAATCCCACCCAGTAGTACTTTGTATCACTTTCCCAACTTCAAAAATAAAACTTTCTGTCCTAACCAGTTTGGCTCAGTGGATAGAGCATCGGCCTACAGACTGAAGGGTCCCAGGTTCGATTCCGGTCAGGGGCATGTACCTTGGTGGCGGTCAAATATATTTAAAAATAAATAAAATAAATAAAACTTTCTGCTCATGGCCCTCTTGTTAACTATGTGCTTACATAATGAGCCATGAGAGAGGCTCAGAAATTTCCCAACTACATTGATAGCCCTCAACCTTTTATCTCTTTTTTCTTTGGTCTGAATATTTAGTTATAAGTTCCTACTTGAGGTCAGCTTCAAATCTAGGACCATGTATAACCAAAACTTTATCATGAAGCTTGGGTTCATGATATTGTTTTATATATACATATATACTGTTTTATAATACACTAGAGCAGTGGTCAACCTTCCTAATGCCGTAACCCTTTAATAGAGTTCCTCATGTTGTGGTGACCCCCAATCATAAAAGTATTTTTGTCGCTACTTCATAACTGTAATTTTGCTACTGTTATGAATCGTAATGTAAATATCTGCTATGCAGGATGTATTTTCATTGTTACAAATTGAACATAATTAAAGCATAGTGATTAATCACAAAAACAATATGTAGTTTATATGGCCCACTGGCTCCTAATTGATCACCTGCCTGCCTGCCTGGTCACCCCTAACCACTCCCCCGCCAGCCTAATAGATGCCTAACTGCTCCCATGCCGGCCTGATTGCCCCTAACTGCCCTCCCCTGCTGGCCATCTTGTGTCCACATGGGGGCAGCCATCTTGTGTGTTGGAGTGATGGTCAATTTGCATATTACCTCTTTATTAGATAGGATAAGTTATTGGGGTCAGTTAAAGAAAAAGTGTTTAAAAAATGCCAGTTGGAAATACACAAACACATAAACTAAAAAATAAAAACCCAAAAAAGGACAAAAAGATATGTCAGACTACAAATGCCAAAGAAAAATGTGGAGACAGAAGTTTTGTTTCAATAAAGTAACAGCCCATATTAAATACTTTTTAAATCCTATTGCATTTTCACAAACAATAAGCAAAAACAGATCTGCAATCTAGTTCCTGGAATGTTGCAAAAGGAAAAATTTTACTCAGGCTCAGAAACTTTTTACATCCACCTCAACACTGCTTCTCAAATGTTCATGTCTTTCTCCTGGAGCAACCCCCTTTGATCACACCTCTAAAACTCTGCCAAGATCTCCAAGCGAAGGAGAAAATAAATAACTGAATCTTTCCTCTGCTTAGCCAGGGGAGAAAAAGAGTCACTAATCAAAGGAATTTGACAGGGGAGGTGGGTAGCTGGCAGATTTAGATAACCACCCAAATGAAAAGACCAAGATGATTTCAACTAAGAATAGAAAAATCAGGTATTCATTTGAGAGGTAAGAGTTTTCAGTGGACTACGCTCTCAGCCCCTGGCTTCTCCTGGCCCTGTAGCTTTCTTAGTAATTCTATCGGAGTGCAAGTAATACTCTTCACCAGAAGATAGCTATTAAAACAAATTCTGTGTTGTGTGGTGATTAAGGGTCAGGGGAGAATGTTCCTTAAGTTAAAGATTTAGATTGTTTTACATTCTGCCACAAAGCTATGTAAATACTAGCAAGTCATTCAGCATCAAATTATTTTAACTAGAAAATGGGGATATAATGAGAAACCCATAGGAAAGAGTAGATTTAAGTACTTAAAATGCAATGTAATATGTAAACTCAAGTTACTATTAAATATGTCCCAGTTTATGGCATCACAGATTTGTTAATGACACCAGATCGTTTTGATAGAATATGACACCAAAGTAAGGCACCATAAAGGATTTCCTTCATAGTCCTTTTTGACTCAAAAACAAAACCTTACATAGAGTAAAAAAGCCCACAAACCTTATGGCAGAAAGATGTGACTTTGGGTGGAGAGCAGACGATGCAGTATGCAGATGATGTGTTATAGAGTTGTACATTTGAAATCTTTATGGTTTTATTCACCCATGTCACCCAATAAAGTAAGTAAAAAATAAACAAACAAAAATTTTTAATGCTATGGAAGAAAAGTCTACAAGTCTCCATTCTATTGGCCCCTTCTGCAGGATGCAAAGGTGACAGAAGTGAAGAAATCCACGTGAACATTGGCTATACCCATGTCAAAAATGAAGAACAGACAACTGTGCTGTGTAGACCACCCAGAAGGAAAGTATAACACCCTCTGTTCCTGCTTCTAATTGAAACTTTTATGTAAAAATAAAAGTTGCAGCCAGAAGTAATCGGTTATGAAAACCAGGAATATTCAGAACTGGTGGCTTTAATTTTAAACTTAGGGTGGCAGCTACCAGGAGAATAAAACAGACAGTAAACATCTAGATCACTAGGTTTATTCTATTTATGGATATCTCTTTTACTTTGAAAAGACAATTTTAACTCTACTCTTCTTACATTATTTTTAAAGAAGGTAAGCAGTATGGGTATCACAGTAAATGCCAAACTTACAATTCTTGTAGCAAGGTTGCCTGAAAGGTTTTCCTTTTGAAAAGGCAATTGCCACTATGAGGTACTGAAAACTGGAGATAAAAAACACTGTGGTATTTTCATAATTTTGTATATTATGTGGATCATCTTCGGTTTCATTGTACAAATGTGAAAAATTCCCATATAGGCTTCCTGTTGTATTACAAGCACTGAAACATACAAAACAAATTTTACGTTACTAAACACAATACCAATTGCACAAAAGAAACCAATTCTACCTTACTTGCCTTGATTATCATAAAATAAATAGAAATAAGGTATATAGCAAAAGACCCAACAATATTAAGGTTAAGTTATATAAAACAGGTAGAAGAACATTAAGGGTTTTTTCAATTTAGTCACATTCCAATAAGTTAAAAAATTAGAAGAAACCTCATTACTTAATAAACCCCTCTCACTTTTTAAATTTGGGGAGTAATTTTAGCATAGTAATGGTAAACTGACCTTGGGTTTGACCTTAGCTCTATAATTTTTTAGCTATCACTAAGGAAATATTTAATTTCTGAGCCTGTGTCCCAACCTGCAAGTGTGGACACCACTTGCTCATTCAGAGGGTGACTGTGGGAAATGAGTATGATAGGGTGTATACATGCCCAGCAAAGCACTTGGCACTGAAGCCCTCAATATTTTCCAGCTATGGCTCTCTCATCTCTACTTCCAGGTGAGCAGAACTGGCAAACAAAGAACTAAATATAAGAAGTCCCCAATATCCATCACTAAAACATCAGCTATAATAAGCATTGTTAAATTATAACAAAATCTGCTACAGACACAGAACTTAGACACAGAACCTACACAGAACCTAGAGACAGAAGAACTTCGCTGGAGAGAACATGGCAAAAGATCCTGGACAGAAACTGGCCACAGAACCTAGAGACAGAACCTAGAGACAGAACATGGCAAAAGATCCTGGACAGAAACTGGGAACAGAACCTAGAGACAGAACCTAGCAAGAGAACCTGGCTGAAGATCCTAGAGACAGAACCTGGCTACAGAACCTGGATGGAACATGGCAAGAGAACCTGACTAGAACCTGGTGACTGAACCTGGCTGGAGAACCTAGCGAGGGAACATGGCTACAGAACCTGGCTACAGAACTTCGCTGGAGATCCTGACCAGAACTTGGCTAGAGATCCTGGCTAGGCTGCTGATCAACTGAATGCTGTCTCCGTGTCATTCCTTCTTCGCTGACTCCGTCCACGCCTATGGGGAACCACTGGACCTGCTGGGGTTGGACCCCAGCAATTTTTCATTATTTCATTGCTCCCCCCATCCCTTAGCTTTGTTTGTTTACTATTCTTTTAGAGGTCACTCAAGACTTTTAACATGATTCCTTGATTAAAATTTTAATATGAATAAAAAAAAAATCTGCTACAAATCTGGAAAATTTCTTGAGAACAACCCCATCTATTCCTTTTCATATGCAGTGTTTATATGTACATACTAGAGGCCTGATGCACGGATTCCCTCAGCCTGACCTGCAGGAATCAGGCCGAAACCAGCTCTCCAACATTCTCCAAGGGGTCCCAGATTGTGAGAGGGTGCAAGCCAGGCTGAGGGACCCCACTGGTGCACAATTGGGGCCAGGGGAGGGGTCGCGGGAGGGCTCCAGGGTGTATCCAGCCTGTCTTGCCCAGTCCCAATTGGCCAGACCCCAGCAGAGAGCTAACCTACCAGTCGAAACGTCAGCACCCTGGTGGTCAGTGTACGTCATAGTGACTGGTGGAACGGCCGGAAACTTAGCATATTAAGCTTTTATATATATAGATAAGCAAACAGTAATATTATGTTTCTAAAGCTTTAAAGAAAGTAATCTCCCTCAATCAAGCAAAATAAATGTGCGCATCTGAAAATTTAAATCTACAAAATTACCTTAAGTGAATAGTTTTTATGTTTAATTAATTAAAATGATGTTGTCATGTTTTGTGAACTGTAGAATACTCTACCCATAAACAAATAATACTTAAAAAAAGAATTTGTTTTAAAATGCTATTTCCTAAAATGGGGTTAGAAAAGTTAGAAGCACCAACATTCAGGGTTTAGAAGAGGCCCAAGTATTTAATTTCAACTTTCTAATTTTACAGATAAAGAAAGCAAAGCTCAGTAGCAAATTAAGAAACTGGTCCAATGTCCCCATCTTGGTAGTGATTATTAAGATCTTGCCAGACTGTCTTCCTACACACAGAAGAAATTTATCATGATACAGTCATGATATAAATCATTTAAGTGTTTAATTAAGCTGCATGCAAAAATCTATATATATAAAAGCCTAAATGACCAGTTGACTGATTGGTTGCTATGACATGAACTGACCACCAGGGGGCAGACACTCAACATAGGAGCTGTGTCCCCTGATGGTCAGTGTGCACCCACAGTGGGAGCGCTGCCCAGCTCACTGAAGGGCGCCAGACGCGGGGCTCATGGCTGGCTGCCACAGCCCAGAGACTGCAGTGGAGCATCAGCGAGCCTACTAAGCAGCAGCAGATGCGGCGGGGCCGGGATGAGCAGGAGCGGCAGGCAGGAGCAGCAGGCGGCATTGGACTGCTGGTTTTGGCCCAATACCTGCAGGCCACGCCGAGGGGCCCCATCAGTGCATGACTCTGTGCACCAGGCCTCTAGTTCTTATATAAAAACTTAGACTTATTCTTACATGTATGAATGTTACACATACTTCACACAGTCTTCGAAATGGACTAACCAACTTACTCTGAATGTGGATGCCATATTTCATACCAAGGTTGCCGCTTGACCCAAAAAAACCCCAAAGACTGAAATCCAATGCTGATGATGATCTGAGACAAAACGGAGAAGAGAAGGGCCCCCGATATGAGACCTGAAGGTGGTCTTTGTGCCACAAGTTCCTTCCAGGCAGGATTTAAACTCACTACATTAGAAGAAAAAGATGAAAGGTTTATTGCTTGTTGCTCAATCAATTTGTCACTATAAAATGCATAATCAAATTCATTTAGAAACTTAAAAAATTTGTTTTTGACAACTACAATTAAAATAATACAATTTCTTCCTCATAAGACATTAACAAAGGTTTGAAGCAAAATAAACAAAACAGTAACATAAAAAAGGCTTTGTTTGTTTATTAAGGTGTTACCCACTGAGTTTCTCCACTGTTAAGTCTCTCTTTTTTTAGTTTGTTCATAAATAATATGTATAATAAGACTATGTAAAATTCCTGTCCCACATCAAATTACATTCACTAGTATTTTTCGGGTTATTTTGAGAGAGAGAGAAAGAGAGAGAGGGGGGGAGGGAGAGAGAGAGAAAGAGAGAGAGAGAGAGAGCTAGCCATGTCCAAACCCACAGTGTGCTGAACTGATTGGGAAGAAGAAAATTTGTCAAATTTTAAAATCACAAAAATAGACCTGAGAGAGAGAGAAAGAAAGAAAGAAAGAAAGAAAGAAAGAAAGAAAGAAAGAAAGAAAGAAAGAAAGAAAGAAACATTGATCAGTCACCTCGTATGTGCCCTGATCGGGACAGAACCCACAACCTTTTTGTGGTGTACAGGACAACGTTCCAATCAACTGAACCACCCTGCCAGGGCTCATTCACTGATTTTTAGCATTCATTAGATTGTCTATGATGTATTATGATAGAATTGTACACCTGAAACCTACAATTTTATTAACCAATTCATCCCAATAAATTTAATTAAAAAATGGTCTAAATAAGTCATTCTCAACCAACATGATTTTGCCACTCAGGAAACATTTGACAATGTCTGCAGATACTTTTGGTTGTCACAACTGGAAGAGTGTTACAGGCACCTAGTTGGATAGAGGCCAGAGATGCTGGTAAGCATCCTACAATGCACAGAATAATCCGCAACAACAAAAAATTATTTGGCCTAAAATGTCAATAAAACTGGGAAGGTTCTTTCCATGATTTAAGTCCATCATTTCATTTATTCATTTATGTATTCATTCATTCATTGACTGCCTGCCAGTATGAACTAAATTTTTATTTGATTAAATGAGTCAGATCCTATTACCATTACTATTTATTTTTATTATTATTATTTTTGTAGTTGTTAATCCTCCTCACCCAAGGATATGTTTCCATTGATTTTTTTTTTTTTTTAAGAGAGAGAGTGGGAGGTGGAGAGACAGAGAGAAACATCAATGTGAGAGAGTCACATCGATAGGTTGCCTCCCGCATGCACCCCAACCAGGGCCGGGGATCAAGCCTGCAACTGAGGTATATGATCTTGACCAGAATTGAACCCAGGACCCTTCAGTCCATGGGCCGATGCTCTATCCACTGAGCCAAACCGACTAGGGTCATTATTATTTATTTTTATGTGAACATCACCAATTCATAGCCTGAGTCTAACTACACTATAATGCACAAAGCCATATAATTGGTATATCTTCTTTCATAAATATCAATATCAACAGATGCCAAAAAAAGGCTAATGTAATATTCCGACTAAAGAAGACTAAAGAGACATGATAATTACATGAAGTTTGTGAGCCCTGATAAGACCTAAGCTAGGGGACTAGGAAAAAAGATAGGTATAAAAGGACATTGTTGGGCCATAGCTGGTTGCTCAGTGGATAGAGAGTCAGCCTGCAGACTGAAAGGTCCCAGGTTCGATTCAGGTCAAGGGCACACGCCTGGGTTGTGAGCTCAATCCCCAGTATGGGGTGTGCAGGGGGCAGCCGATCAATGATTCTCTCTCATCATTGATGTTTCTATCTGTCTCTCCCTCTCCCTTCATCTCTGAAATCAATAAAAATATATTTTAAAAAATCTATACTAATAAGAGGATAATATGCTAATTAGATTGGACATCTTCCAGACAAAGCCACGGGGCAGGGGCCGAGGCAGAGGTGGTTAGTTGCAATCAGGCCAGCAGGGGAGAACAGTTAGGGGTGACCAAGACGGCAGGGGAGGGCAGTTAGGAGCGACCAGGCGGGCAGAGGAGGGTAGTTAGTGATGACCAGGTCAGTAGGGGAGGGCAGTAAGGGGGTGATGATCAGGCCGGCAGGAGAGGGTAGTTAGGGGTGATCAGGCAGGCGAGCAGTTAGGAGCCAGCAGTCCTGGATTGTGAGAGGTATGTCCAACTGCTGGATTGGAGAGGGTGCAGTCCGGGCTGAGGGACACCCCGCCCCCACCCTGGCTCATGCACGAATTTTTGCACTGGGCCTCTAGTATGATTATAAAAGGGCATTGTTGGGACATATGACAAAACCTGAATACCTGCTGTGGATTAGATACTATTTTATCCATGCTAAATTTCCTGATCTTTACAACTGTTTTTAATTATACAATATAAGAGAATGGCTTTGTTTTTCGGCAATATATACTAAAATATTCAGGGGCAAAGGGGCATAATAATACAAACTTATTCTCAAATATTTCAAAAAAGAGTGGAGAGAGAATAAAATAAATGGGGCAAAACATAAGCAACTGGTAATAAAAGGCAACATTAACAGGAAATCTGGAGAGGTATGCAGTGTTACAATTGTTGATGTAAATTTACCAAAGTTTAACAAGTCACATTAGAATTTCATAGGCTTTCAAATCACTAACAAAATACTCACTTGTAAATACCACTACCAAAATGATTGCCAGATCAATGAAGAGAAACTGGAAGTCTCCTAGGTTACTTAAGACCTACAGAAGTAATTTTTTAAAACAAATTTAGTTTTCAGGAACAATTACCATTTTTCTCTGGTTTTAGTGCCCCCCCCCCCCCAGCCCCAACCCCAATGATTACTACTAAATGACACTTGGACCTGCTTGAAAAGTGAAATACATTTGCCTTTCGAATCAGTGAAATACAACATATTTGCAAACATTCAAATTAATATGTTAATATATAAGGCATCTCCTAACAATTCAAATCAATAAAAATCTTTTAAAGCTTTTTTTGGCAAAAAGAAAACACAAACTTTTACTCACAATATTCAATATTCTTGAAAATTAGTATCTTGAAGCTTCCTTAATATCTAACAACATCCCTCCTGATACTTTCTACAAATGATAAAAAAGTATAGTTTCACAAAGACTCCTTGGGATGTCACCAATGTTCACTTAGAGATATATCTAAAGTGAGATCGCTTTCAGGATAAAATCTGACAGAGTACTTATGGACACCACTATTTAAGCTTTTTCTCCAAATTCATAATATCCTCCAACTATTGCTGAAACACCTTTTCTCATTCCGGCCTTTTCCTGTAAATATATAGCAAAATTAACTACAATTCTGAAATATGTCACAGCTTATTTAAAAGAATTCTAGAAAAGATGTCCAATCTGTGCTCAAGGCAAAAAAGTATACACTCATCTTTTATTCACAAGGTTCAACCACAGCTGTCAGCCTTGAGGAAAATGATATTCCATATTAATGAGATTTTTCAATCTGCTACACAAAACATAGTAAAACTAAAGAAAAGTTTATAACTGCTAATTATGTAAATTCCATAATTAATGCATGCATTCAAAATCAAACACATTGCTCATATCTTAATTTAAATGTCTTACTTAATGTCTAAGGATAAGCAATATCAGTACTCACGGAATACAGTAGAGTAACACTGAAGTATTGTATAATGCTGTACAAAGCCATAAATTTAAACACACAGAAGGAAGTCATTAAAGCAGCACGGCCTTCCCTGTGAAAACAAATGTTGGCATGTGAATAAAGGCATTTCAAACTCCTCCTCCAAACCACAATTATATCTTGACAGATGAATATTAACATTCAACCGCTACAATAAAGCACACTTCTACCCAAAGAACTAAGCCAAAGCAGAACTGGAAGAGATGAGGAGTAACAATCAATCTGTTGCTAATAAATAACAGATCAAATATACCAAAACACCATAAAAACAAATTCGTATTACTTTCTGTGATCATTTCCCCCCCATATTATTAAAGCAAGCTACAAAGAGACAATAGGAAATTTTTAATTTGTCCTACCTGATGAGGTTTGGCACACAGGAAATACTAGGAGTTTTGGAGGTAAAGGGAGATGCCACTGAAGCCTCGAGCTCTGATAAAGAAATGCCTCCATGTGCCCTCTTTAGAGCCTAAAAGTTAGAAAAAGAAAACTGGTAACATCCTCTGAATGTGACTTAGGCTAGCAGGGGTAGGGAACCTTTTTTCTGTCAAGGGCCATTTGGATATTTATAACATCATTCAAGGGTCATACAAAATTATCAACTTAAAAATAGCCTGCTATATTTGGTCAAACATTTCATTAAATCACCCCTAATGCTTTGGCAGGACCAGACCAAATGATTTCGCAGGCCTTATATGACCTGCGTGCCCGATGTTCCCCACCCCTGGGCTAGAGAAAGAATTATAAATTACAAAAATTATACTTACACCACAATCATTTGCACCATCACCACACATCCCAACAAAGTAACTGGGGAAGAAAAATTATGTTAAGATTTTGATTAATTTCCTAAAAGGCACAATATTTAAGATTTCTCTAATACAATAGTATGAAGAGCTAAGAAACCAAGATTCCCCCCAGTGAAACAAATTAATCTTTTCATTACAGTGATCACAGGCATGTTGCTTTGCATCAGCCTGCATGTCAGATAACCTGGGTATTGTCCAATTTCTGTCATAAGATGGACAAATCACTTTATCATTTTAACATCTCAATTTCCTAATCTTTAGAGCAAAGTACTTGGGCTTGTACAGCCTTTAGCACACTTACTTTTAAGGCTATCAGTAAAGAGTTCTCCCTTAAAAACTTGAAACATATTTATTTACTAAAACTATAAAGTCACTTCCATCAAACTGAGATGAATGAACTCTACCTCATACATATGACCTGGAAAAGAAACTGTAGATATTGTACTTTAGCTGCAAGAGCCGACATGAGCACATAAGCCCCTTTTAAATAGAGACTTAAAGTTATCGCTTACCTACCTCACAGGGGATAATAATATATACATGAAATATTAGTTACTTTTCTGGGTTTGAAAATGAACTACAATTCACTAAAAAACAAAACAAAAAAAACACACCGCACACCCCAATACTTACTCTACATTTTGCAATGCTTCTATTAATTGTGTCTTCTGATCAGGTGCCATACGAGCAAATACAGTGCCATGCAACATCAACTGGAAAAAATATGAATTTCTTTAAAATTCTGGTTACAATGTATTTATGTGAACACATACATAAACCCAAATAACTAACCTTTGGAACAAGGTCTTGAAAATGCTCCAGTATCACTGAAAATGATTTTCCATTCATTGCAAAATGATAACGAGACACCTGAAGATCCTCTAAGCTATCGTGGACTGATTTAATTGGAATTGCCTGTGTATACAACATTCAAAATAATATTTAGGAAGCCAAACCAAGTAACGCTACCTTATTTTAAATATATCTGATCCAAAACTAATTTTTTTCATTTGATATTTTACACAAGACATTGAAAGTTTAACATTTATTGAAAGTAGAGGGAAAATCAATTTTAAGGGGATGAACCTATCTATATGTTTCTTAAGAAAACAAACATACACACACACACACAAACATAAGGAAGGCTAAGTATCAGCTTCAATTTGAAATGATCCATGAACTGAATATTTTGGCCTACCTTCACCATTTATCACTACTTTTAAAATAGGATAAATCTTTGGGATTCTTATACTTTAAAAGTGCGCTTCTCAACTTTGTCTAACTATCAAAATTTAAAGCACTGAGATTCCTGGATCTAACGAATCAGAAGCCCAGGCTTCTGTTTCTGTTTACTTTTTGCTTTGTTAAATTTGAATGCACATTTTACTTTTTTAGACTAAATTAAAACATGCAAGCTTCAAAGAGAAAAATTCATCTTGACATTACCTCCGAGTCAACTGCTGATGAATTACTGCACTGTGTTAGAGTGTCTGCATAATGCCAGTTTATTTTGGCAACTTTTCCATCCTTTGGAGGTAATGCTTCAGCAATAATAACTTTATCCTGAGGTAGTATCATTCCACAGTCTCTGGCCACAGAGACAGCAGTCAACATGTTGTCACCTAATTTTCAAAATATTGAAAACACATTAAAATTAAAACATAAATGGATTAACCAACAAGTGCTTATTGAAAATCTACTATAGACCCTACCACTGGACTAGGCAAAATGAAGATAATGTTTAAAATAAAATAATCAGGACATACTTATCAAAGGAAGCCTTAAATAATGCAAGCACATATATACTAAACAGTCAGAACATTCTCACTCCCAATTTTTAAAACCAAATACATTCTCTTTCTTTTTTATTTTAACCCTCACCTGAGGATATGTTTTTATTGATTTGAGAGGGTGGGTAGCGGGAGGAGGAGGAGGACGGGGAGGAGAAAAGGAAGGAGGAGGAGGAGGAGAGAGAAACATCAATCAGTGCCTCTTGTACTTGGCCTGAGGGAGGAAAGAACCTGCAATTTAGGTATATGCCCTCACCTGGAATCAAATCTACAACATGTTGGTGCACAGGACAACGTTCCAACCAACTGAGCACCAAGCCAGGGCCATTCTCAATCTTTGAGTCATTCACTAGTAGCACCTGCCACAGTGCTACATACAGAGCAAGCGCTCAATAAATATTTTTTGAAACAACCTAGGAGTGACCGGTGATCTGTTTAAGAATACTAGAATAGTATCACAGGAAAGAAAGAATGAATTACAAAAGCAAAATTACACAGAACTAAAAGATAAGCAAGGTAGTAAGAATATAATCTTTACAAGATGTAAAGAGAACAAAGACAGACAACTTCTCAGCCATGAGAAAAAAGAAGAGCAGCACTGTAAAGGATAGGTTCAAGAGAAGAAAATACTAGCTTACAAGAGAAGCTGACAAAGGTCTTGGGAGCCCACTGCTATCAGACTGAAGGGCAATATTATTTTTTTCCCCAACTCCTACACACTATTTCCAAGGGTGTCTTCCAGTGATCAGACAGACCCCTTAGGACAACGAAACCATAGTCAGTCATGGTAGAGACAGAGGGGAAAGAGATACAGAGATAGAAAGTGCCTTGAAGCAGTCATTAAAACCAAAAATTGCTAGGAAGATAATAAATTTAGTTACTTCAGCTGTATAGTAACAACTATGCTATCAGATGAATCTCAGAGTCTAAAACATAATTCTAGTAGAGCAAACAAATGTACAAATATCTAACACAGAGCAAGGCACAATAAGTGCTATAAGAAATATATGATTACAGAGAGATAAAAAGAAGCAGAGGTTAAAATTTTATGGTGTGCCCTTTATTATCTTACTATACCAGTGATGGCGAACCTTTTGAGCTCGGCGTGTCAGCATTTTGAAAAACCCTAACTTAACTCTAGTGCCGTGTCACATATAGAAATTTCTGATATCTGCAACCATAGTAAAACAAAGACATATTTTTGATATTTATTTTATATATTTAAATGCCATTTAACATAGAAAAATCAACCAAAAAAATGAGTTCATAGGTTCGCCATCACTGTACTATACTTTCTATCAACAGAATTTGTTAGACTTCAAAATCATAGTACCAAGTTAACTTACACCTAAAAAAAAAAAATTCAAAGCTGAAATAGGGCAATGCAGGATGGAGCCACAATATAATATACTTTTATAACCAATTGGTCATCTGTTAATATATTTTGAACTCTAAGAGTCACACTCAAATTTTTCTGAGTCATTTTATAAAGTCTAACCTGTGACCATGACAGTGCGAATGTTGGCTTTATGCAAATCTTCAAGTACTGCAGGGGTTTCTCGCTTTAATTTGTTCTGCATTATAATTAATCCCATAAAATCCATGTTGTTTTCAATGGCATCTCTGCAGAAAAAGAAATTTTAGCACGTAATGGTATAGTCAAGTGAACGGGCTATTTTCTCATTATATTGATAAAGCAATTTAAAATACCCAAATATTATAAATTAAGACATTTTATAGGCAGAACAATGCTCATATGTGTATGTTTATGAATTCAATATCTTAAAAAAAAATTAAGCCTGGAAAAAAAATTCCCAAGAAATACATTGAAATTAAATTTTACCCTCTTAAATGCAGGAATATAAGAATCATGTATAGTTAGTTGGCTCTCCACATCCCCAGGGGAGTCCTAGAACCAATTCCCACACAGATATCAAGGGACACTGTATTCCTTTGTAAGACACTAAAAACACATAGTGCTAAGGAATGTTCATCTTATATCCTACTCACCAACTGAACAAGCATAAATAAATCTATTTTTTACCATCCCACACACAACATACCCTAACTTAAATGTTGAGAGAAAGGGGAAAAAACTGTCCCGTAAGTACATTTGATACAATTATACTACATTCATTATCAAATTTTTGATGAATTTTTATAAAACTCTTGATCCTTGAAGTGGGATGTAAGAAGCATTAGCAATCCAACAATGAGATCTACTTGGAATCCAGAGATAAGTCTTTTAGAATATTCATATTCAATAGTTAAAGATGTTATTCCTTCAAATAGTTATCTATAATGCACCAAGTACTACAGAAATCGTTGGGATGTCAAAGATAAAAAGGTATGATAAATACTCTTCAATATGTTTTTTGGGGAAACAGACAAGCAAGCAAAACAGAAAATAATAGGCACGTCAGCATTATAATGTACATGAAGTCTGTTCAGCGATAGTTGTGTTAAGAAATCTCAAGCTAAATCAGAGAAATACTTTTTTCAATAGAGAAAGGGGGCTTGAGGTTAGGGACTAAAATTTCACACTTGCAATAACCAAGTGGTTTTTCTACACAAAATTCAACAATTATAGGCCCTTTACATAGCTATAAACCTCAATATCTTTGAAATATAATTCAGAACAAGGAGTGTTAAAGGTATTAAAGAACAGTTAGGAAACTTACTACAAATGATATTACTGGTGATAGTAGGAGAAACAAGCCTTGAACCTGAAAATGCATTTCAAAGCACAAAGCTTTACAAATGTGAAACTACTAGATCAAGAATACTGCAGCCATTTTCCTACAAGATACTAGCCATTTCTGGCTTTAAGTGGTTTCCTAACTTTCCTAAGATACAGGTCATGGAAATTTTGTCCTCTAATTAATGAATACTACAATATTTAATTCAAGATATAAAGATTCAAGCTGTTAGAGAAATGCCAGAACCTATTCCCAGAAGTTAGAATGGACACAGAGAAGATTGAAGGATGAGGATGAAGGGAAGCAGAGAGAGAAGCTGATAAAGAATAGTGTATTCTGGGCAGAAGGAATAGCCCATCCAAGGGCATGGAAGGATGTCTGAATAGAACAGGCTCAAGAACTATAGGCAATTCAACAGTTAGTCCTTAGGAGGGAACTAGCAAAAGGTGAAGCTGTAGAGACAAAAAAGAGCCTAATATGCCCTTCGCAGGAATCGATATAACATTTTACATTTTGGCTCTCAATCATGTATATGCATCATTTCATTTGGTTATCAGTTTGTTTTTTAATCACAAGTTGCCAACAGCACTTTATTTTTTCTTTTCCAACATCCTGTTCTGCAGCTTCATTGGCTCTTTTTGCCTGGATGCCAAAGAGCCAGGCATTGGTACAGGCCATGAAAAGACTGGCAAAAGCCTTGAAGTTCTCCTCCCTCTGTGATGACCCTGGCTTTCTTTCTCCTTCTTGTAGACATTCCGTATGGGCATGACTGGTCTGGTCAGCTGGGTAGCCCATTTGAGTTCTTCAGAACTGTCTCCCTTCCTAGGGGTCAAAGGCTTCCTGAGGAAGAGTATGAGCTTGGAGCGGTACTCCTTCAGCCGCTGCACGTTGGCCTGCAGGGAGTGGACTTGTTCCGCCGCCTCGGATCCACCGAGATCCCAATGGTCCCGGCCACCATTTTGTGGATTTCAGCCACCCTTAACTCTTCCAAGCTGAAGGCCCTTCTGGCGTGGGTGCCAAACGGTGGGGCATCTCACTATGGGTCGGATAGGTCTGGACTCAGGGCAAGGGGCAATGGGGCGCCGGGCCTTGCGTCTGTGGATCTTCTGCGCCAGCTGATTAAACCACATGGCAACGCACCGCTGCCAGTCCTTGTGGAAGTGGGGCTTTAGGATCATGCCATTTCGGCTGGGCGCCATGGCTGCTGCCTACAGGCCTTCTCGGAAGGAAAGCGGCCGGCAGTAAGCCACGTTTTTGGTTTTTTTTTTTCAAACATTCATGCTTAGACCACATCCCTCAAATAATGTGTTCTAGTTAGAATTCCTAATGTAGTTTTTCCTTTTAGTTAATTTGGCTGTCCATTCTACTCCTTTAGTTCTCTCTCAGAAAACATAATTGTACTACAAACACTTTTTATTTAATGTACCTGAAATAATTAGAAGTTCTAATGTCCATAATTTAACTTTTGCCCTATTGGTGAGTATTATGTTATTTGTACTATTTAAACATGAACTTACGCACATAAAATATTTTTTCAGGCTGGATTCCTAGAGCTGCACTTGCTAGGTCAAATAAGCAAATTTAAATGTTCTTCAGAACTTAATAGTGTACTAGCAATATCCTATCTAATGAAAAAGTAATATACAAATAAACCATCACTCCATGACAAAGATGGCGGCGCCTATAGCGGCTGGGGCAGGACGCTGGCGGAGCCCAGCAGGCAAGTGCGTCTGCAAGCAGCACCCAGCAGGGCCTGCTTGGATGTCGCTGTAGCAACCCACAAGCAGGCAAGCAGGGCCCGCAGGCAGCACCCAGCATGGCCTGCTTGGGGGCCACTGCAATGACCCGGGAGCAGGCAAGCGCAACCCAGCCTGCTTGGGCAGCACCCAGCAGGGCCTGCTTGCCCATCCCTGTGGTGTGGAGCAGGCAGGCCCCGCAGAGAGCAGAGAGCCACAGGGACTGGGCCCAAGCTGTCAGTAGGACATCCCCTGAGGGCTCCTGATTTGGAGAGGGTGCAGGTCAGGCTGAGGACTCCCCTCCCTCGCCCCCCTGCATGAAATTTCGTGCACCAGGCATCTAGTCCTATATAATAAAAGGCTAATATGCAGATAGACTAAACAGCAGAACAACCAAACAACCAGTAGCTATGACGTGTGCTAACCACCAGGGGGTGCGCGTGGAACATAGTGGGAGTCGGCAGCAGGCAGCAGAGCGTAGAACATGGCTGGTGTCGGTGGAGCAAGTGAGCAGGGGCACCAGACCAAGGCAGGGTGCCGGTCGCTGTCATTGGGGCGAGCCTCTGATGGTTCCTGAAAATTCTTTGCTCCCGCGCACTGCGGTCCAGCCTGGCACTTGCACCTGCTGCTGGCACCGGCCCCGCTCGCACCCACTGCAGGTGCCGATCACTCAGTGCCGTCAGTGGGTGCGAGCGGTAGCTGCCAGCCCCGATCATCCCTCAGGGCTTCTCCACCTCCCTCTGCTCCTGAGGGGCTATCAGCCACCACTTGCACCTGCTGCCAGTGCCAGCCCCACTCACACCCGCAGCCGGCGCTGGAGCCACCGCTCACTCCTGCTGCCGGCCCTAGGGTGCCGGTCGCTGTCATTGGGGCGAGCCTCTGATGGTTCCTGAAAATTCTTTGCTCCCGCGCACTGCGGTCCAGCCCAGCACTTGCACCTGCTGCTGGCACCGGCCCCGCTCGCACCCACTGCAGGTGCCGATCACTCAGTGCCGTCAGTGGGTGCGAGCGGTAGCTGCCAGCCCCGATCATCCCTCAGGGCTTCTCCACCTCCCTCTGCTCCTGAGGGGCAATTGGAGCAGCAGCTGCCACTCGCACCCGCTGACAGCATCGTCCCCACTCGCACCCGCTGACAGTGCCGTCCCCACTTGCACCCGCTGACAGTGCTGTCCCCACTTGCAACCGCTGCTGGCACCGGCCCCAATTGCTCTGTGCCATCAGCGGGTGCAAACGGGGCTGGCGCTATCAGCACGTGGGACCAGCGTGGCAGGAGTGGGGCTGCCAGCAGACAGGGGACTGGGGGCTGCGGTGGGAAGGGTCAGGAGGGGGCACTGAGGATGGGCCGAGACCTGCCCCTGTGCCCACCACAGCCTTGCGGCCCAAAGTTCCTTTCAAGGTGCACAAATTCATGCACTGGGACCATATGGCAACCAGGCCAGCAGGGAAGGGCAGTTGGGGGCATTAGGCAGGCAGGCAGGTGAGCAGTTAGAAGCCAGTGGTCCTGGATTGCGAGAGGGATGTCTGACTGCTGGTTCAGGTCCGATTGGGATCAGGCCTAAACCAGCAGTCGGCCATCCCCCAAGGGGTCCCGGATTGGAGAGGGTACAGGCTGGGCTGAGGGGCCCCCCAACTCCGTGCACAAATTTCGTGCACTGGGCCTCTATTATATATAAAAAAGCTTAAGCAACCTTTATGACCAAACGACAGGAAGTAACGGCCAACCAGTCGCTATGACATGCACTTACCACCAGGGGGCAGACGCTCAGCACAGGAGCTACCCCCTGATGGTCAGTGCACTCCCAAAGGGAGAGTGCTGCTCAGCCAGAAGCCAGGCTCCTTCCTGGCTGCCTGCCACTTGGTGCACTGCTACATCCCCCTGAGGGGTCCCAGGGCGCAGGCCAGTCTGAGGGACCCCCGCCCCCACCCATGCACAAATCCGTGCACCAGGCCTCTAGTGTTGTTATAATTTTCTCAAAACTTCACTAACACTTGTTATTATCAATCTTTCCAATTTTGTCAATCTTAGAAGAAAAGTGATGCCATAGTATGGTTTTATTTTGCAGTTCCCCAAGAACTGAAGTGTCCTATCATTTTCATGTGTTCACTGGCCATTTGTACATCTTTTTTCTGATAAGTTTGTATCATTTACCCATGTAAAAAAATTACGTTTTGTTTTCCTTCCTGATACATATCTCTGATTGTGAACTCCTCCAATAGGTGATGGGAAGCCATTTATAAGAACTCCAGGTAAGATTCTGGTAATAAGTCTGAAAGTTAAAAAGCTCTCTCTGAAGGCAGTGTGGAATACAGACTGCAGGAAGGAAAGACTAGGAAAAAGAGCTGAGTCCTTGAATTAGAGATAATGGCTGTGGGAATGGAGGAAGAGAAGGCTATTTCACAGGCAAAATTATCAGGACAGCTAATGAATATACGTTTCTGCTTGCTTACAAATGTTATCCTTAAAGGGTAGGTCTGTATCAGTTACAGTGAAAGAGAATCCTTGAAGGTAAAATCCATATCTATACCTGGACGTAAATGTGATGTTGGTAATACCATTTGAACTTTGGGGTAGGTGGTAATTGTTTATTGTGACTCATGATACTGACTAAATAAGTACTTGGTTCCAACCACTAGGCAAAAGCAAACTGATCATTTGGGAAAAATTAACTTCTGTAGAATTAGGTTTAGTAAAACATGATTATGTTCCTAGAACATGCCTGACATACAGCAGGGACTCAATAAATATTTAACAAATAAATAGAAAATAGTTCCAAAGAGCTGTTTCAATCAACTAAAAAGAAAACCATTACATTATGTGTACTTGCATACATTCAATAAATACTTAATGAACACCTAACTACATACAAACTATTGTATGTGACATATAAACATAAATGATGCATTATTGGAAAAACTGTAGAAAAATTGTGAATCAACCTTACCTGCTAATATTCTGCACTTTATGCCATGTCAGTTTTGATTCCAATTTTCTGTGTGCAAGAGCAATTACACGGAAGCCCTGTTTAGTGTAATCCTCTAAAACATTTTCAAAATCAACAGGAACTTTAAAAGGAAAAAATAAGTATCATTGTTAGAATTGCTAATAAAAGCCTATACAAATACCAGAATTTTATTCAAATAGAGTTGGCTCCTTACTTGTTTCAGGTTTACAAAGACTGGCAATGACCTCAGGTGCTCCTTTCATGTAGGCATCCATTTTTTTATCCCCTAGCACCCTTGCAACCACACTCATACGTTGCAAAGCAGAAGAAAATGGGAACTGGCGAACAATTCCTATCTCATAAACAGCCTGTATAATTTCAAAAGATGCATGAAGTATTTATTATTCTTTAAGAATTAAAACAAATATACTTAGGTAAAAAAGTAAACATTCTTCACTCACTGGAAGTTCAAACAGCTCCTAAAAACAAAACAAAAAAAAATAAATAGTACAGATTAAGTCCTTAAGATAAAAAACAACTATGTATCCACAAAACAGCAAGAAACTTCGATTATTTCAAAGTTATGTTTCAAGATTGCTTCTCCTCTGCCTCCCATTTTTAAAAAGTACATCCTTGAATATTTCAAGTATTCTGCTATCCTAAAAATATTAACATTAAATACTAAAATAAACTGAGGGGGCAAATTTAAAAAAATTCACTTCTCACATATTCTTTTTATTAAATTCTAGGAATACAGTTGCAATTTAAAGGGATACTGAGAAATATATCTCAGTATTTCACAAAGTATACCTGCAATATCCCAACAATAATTTCCAATAAACATAGTTAAAATATTCATATCTGCATGAGAGTTAAAGAATGTGATTTCATCTTCTAGTTGTATTTCAAAGTGAGGACTGAATGTTGGCATCAACAGTATAATCCAGCTTAAAGTGATTTCGCACCATTTCCTGGTCTCCTACAGGTGTAGATTCAGGAAGCAGTTGTTTTGGAGGACGAACCACAGTTGGCATAATTCGATTATGAAGTGCTGTTTCCTCTTCAGTTGCTTCCTCCAGAATCTGAAAGGAAAATATACAACATATTGCTTTATAAAATGGAATCCACTGATTTCATTTTTAAATAAAACACTATGTCTATTTTTAGTGAAGTTAAAAAAATTTGTGTCCAAAAAATAAATGAGCACTACTAGATTATTAACATAAATAAAACAAAATATAAACAAAACTAGTTAAAGTCTTAGCAACTCATGGGAGAGAGGAGGAAGAGGTGAAAAGCAGAATAAAATAATAGGGAAAAAGTTCTCTAATTTTGCTTCTATTATCCAGGGATTCCTTTCTGCTAACAGGAATGTGTTCAAAACTATATGGAGCTCAGATATGGTTAGTAGAATGAATGGATCAAGAACACACTGAGGTCCAAAGATATGAGTTTGTTTGTTTGAACTCTTCTAGTTAGGTAGGATACCACTAACCTAACCCCTTAACATTTATTTTAAAAACACTTTCTTTTGGTAAAAAATTCAAATAAGAATTTGTATTAAAAATACACATACATGGCCCGGCCAGGATGGCTCAGTGGTTGAATGTCAATCTATGAATCAGGAAGTCAAGGCTCTGTTTCCAGTGAAGGCACATGCCTAGGTGTGGGCTCGATCTCCAGTGTGGGGCATACAGGAGGCAGCCGATTAATAATTCTCTCTCATCACTGATGTTTCTCTCTCTCTCCCTCTCCCACCCTCTCTGAAATCAATAAAACACACATGTGACAAACTAATTAGACTACAACTGGAAAAAGATGGGGAAGGGAACTATGCCTAATTAGCCAACTTTATACAATTCTAAAACACACTTTAACATCTCCAAAATTGGGAGGCATCTGATAGGGAGTCAATCACACCAACAAACAGCAGTAGTACCAAGTTATGCGAAAACATTCCACTGATCCTTTCTTGTAAGACCAAGCATCAAAGCATCTAAGTCAACAAAACACACTATTACACAAACTTATTTATTTAACCCATTTATTAATATTCTACAAACAAAGCACTAAAACCTACTGAAAATCTATTCAATTGGAGAAATTTTGGAGAACATCAAAATGAATCAGTCCTATTTTGCTTTACAAATGAAGTGGACCTCCTTTAAGATATTAAATTTGATGAGAATTGCCCGGCCGGTATGGCTCAGAGGTTGAGCGTCAACCTATGAACCAGGAGGTCACAGTTCAATTCCTAGTCAGGGTATATGCCCGGGTTGTGGGCTCCATCCCAGTGTGGGGCGTGCAGGAGGCAGCCAATCGATGATTCTCTCTCATCTTTGATGTCTCTTTCTCTCTCTCTCCCTCTCTGAAATCAATAAAAATATTTAAATAAATAAATAAATATGACAAGTATATACTGTGAGCTTTCAGAAGATGGCAAAGCATGTATCTACTCATTCATCTCCTTCCCTTTTGATCAACAAAACACACACACACACACACACACTAAACCTGTAAAAATAAACGAAAAGGAAAGCAAGGGGAGATTTCCAATAAGGATACAAAAGGCAAAACTGAAACATATTGATGAAGATAGCAATGAAGGAAAAAGGATCCCAGAATAAACACAAGAGGACATTCAGGAGAGGTGCAAATATTTCTTATCAGGTGGAATAGCTGAATTAAATTAAAAAACAAAAACAAAATCAAGGAATCATTTCCTAGAAATATGAACTCCTATCTGAGAAGAAGGGCTCTAATGTGAGGGTTAACATTCTAGAATAAAACCCTGCTTATGCAAACACTTGGAGTGTGTGAGGAATTCAACCTGGAGACTAATTCTGCTCCTCTGAAACTCAGGGCACATGCCCAGGCTGCAGGCTCAATCCCCAGCAGGGGGCATGATAGAGGCAGCCGATTGATGTTGCTCTCTCCCTCTCTCTCAAATCAGTAAGAACATATTTTAAAAGTAAAAAAATAAAATTATCAATAGCCAAACATTTAGGAGGAACAAACACAAACTTTTGTGTGTACGTAAGGACGCAAAAAGGAGAACATGGGTAAAAAGAACACCGAAGACACATCACTACTCTATCCTTTTTATCTGACCAACAAATTGTGATGCTGAAGATCATCTTACTAACTCAGGCTTACTGCCTCAAGTTGCAGATAGCAGATACCGATTAAACACATAAAGCAGGGGTCTGAGCAGGTCGTCGCTATTAAAGGTATTTAAGTGAGTCAACATAACTAAAACAGGCTTTTTTTTTATATACAATTACAATGATCTCTCTCCAATGATACACCTTTAGAAATTACATCGTTTCTTTCACGGTACAAGATAGACTATCATCAAAACAACCTGCAGAAACAATCCTTCTGCAAGGTAATTTTTACTCTATTTTTCTGAAGTTACTTGTGCTTTAAATATTAAACTTACCCATCCGATGGCTTCAAACATTTTCAAATCAAGTGGATCACCAGAAAGCACTCCTTCAATTTTTGTGAGTGAATGGCAAGTAGCCATACAAGCAACAAATTGAGACTTTACCAACATCTCATTGCAAACATTTTCTTCTGGCAAAAGAAAACTAAATAGATAATGTACTGAATTAGATTCATAAATTCCAAGACTTGAGACAATATTCTAACAATATTCAGGTTTTGTCATTTTAAAAATGGAAATAAAATGTTTGCATTTCTGCATATTTTTAACTATAGTTTAGGAATTCAAAAACATTTCCCTCCATGAAAATTACACATGACTAAAATATGAAATTATCTTAGATTCTGAATAATTAGGACAGACATAACACTTTAGAACACACTAGACACTAAATAATAACTAAAACTCCTGCCTTTGGACATATGGCAGATTAGAATGCATAAAAACCCTCTTACAAAAACATGAAATGAATGTGTAAAACATAATGCCTTAAATGCGAAACTGAGCTCATTAAAAAAAGGGAAATTTTTAAGTGCCAGAAATAGGAGGAAAGGAAAACAGGAGGGGTATGAACTTTAGCAGATGCTATGACTACCTGGGAAAGAAAGAAGAAGGGAGGGGAGTCCTCTTAGGGAGCCACCTAATGACTTGAGTTTTAATACCCACACAGGAACAGGAGTCAAAGTCTGGGCCACAGACAAAGTAGGGACTTGAAACTAAGATAACCTGTGCTCTTCCACAGACATCCCTGGAAAACAGTATGCTAGAAAAAACTTTACACACAGACCCAAAGGCATAACTAAGAATAAGCTATCTCTCCCCACCTCATAACCCCTGCCTGAAGTTCAAGACAATACCTAGTATCTATATATTGTACTGTACACTAGGCACTGTTCTAGAAACTTTAAATATATTTGACTCATCTCATCCTCACACCATAAGAAGGTGTTTTATTATCCCCATTTCAGAGATGAGAAAACTGAAGCAGAGTGCTTAAGTAACTTGACAAGGTTACCCAGCACATAGGTGAAGACAAGGATTCAACCAAAGGTTTCAGGGCCTAAACTTTAAACCACTGCACTACCCACGATGGGATTTGGATTTGAATATATGCCACTGCCTGGTCCGAAAATTCCCAAGTTATGGAAGTAACATTAAAGTTTGTCTGGTCCCACTGATACCACTCTTCGCCATGCTCTTGGCCAAGCAAGGTCAAAGCTCTCTAGAAAAAGAGCTTCCACAACACAGACACAAAGGAAGGAGTCTCATAGGAAAATCCGGCTAAAGTTGAATTCGTAACTTAAAAATGCACCAGGAAACAATTCTCACTAGTCAACAGACACAAAAAAAGACAGAATTAGAATCCCACAAATTTCAGATAATGGAATGGCAATCTAAAAAATGCAAAAAGGCATTTTAAATTAAAGACCTGGAAAAAGAACAAGACATGTGGGGAGAAGAGGAGAAGCAAATATTTAAAGAACCAAATGAAATTTCTTGCCCAACATATGTTTAGAATTTTCATGTGAAGAGAAAATAAGAATCTGGGAAAGGCCATAATGGAACAGAAAGAAGTTGAACAATTACCATAATTTATGAAAAACATAAGTCCTTAGAATCAATAAGCAAAATGAGTCCTGCACAAATAAAAAGATGGCAGTGAAACAACAGAAATCAAACATAAATATTTTTAAAACAACAAAGGAGGAAAAATATTATTTAAAGAGACCTGGTAAGACTTCTCAACAGCAATAACAAAAGGAGTCAGGAGAAATGGAATAACACCTTCAAAGTGCTGGGAGAACACAACATTGTGAACTAATGGCACAGAAAGGTTGAGAAGTAAAGATGTAGGGAGGTAAAAAGATTGAGAAGATACGCAAAGCAAAATTAGGCAAAAGGAAGCTGATGTGTAACTATATAAAAACATTATATGAAATATAATTTAAGGCAAGATGCATTATTGAGGATAAATAAGTTCCAAAGTGAGGACAACTTATTTACCAAGGAGATGTAACAACTCTGAAACTGCATGAGCCAAACAATAGTCAATCAAACTATTGCAGGCTTTTGAGAGGCAAAAAAATAATAATAATAACATAAACACAATTGTAGCAGTAAAACTTCTAAGCATCAAAAAGACAGTGAAACAAAGTAAAAGACTGGTATAATATTTTTGCAATGCATAGTACTGAAAAATTACAATCCAGAAAATACAAAGGACCTCAAACAAATTAATAAGATATAGATAAACAACACAACAGAAAAATTAGGCTATAAACTGGCAATACACAGAAGGATGTGAAAATATGCTCTGCTTTCTAAGTAATAAAGAAACTACAAGAAAAGCAACAATAAAATATAATTTCACATCTATCCATTTGGCAAAAATTAGCAGTCTGACAATATCAAGTTTGACAAGGATGTGGAGCAACAGGATCTCTTACCCACTGAGGGAGAGTGAGTTAGTACCACCATCACTTAGAGAGCAATTAGGCAATACCTACTAAGGCTGTAGCCATGTCTGTGCTATATCCATAACCCAGCACTGACATTTTTAGGAAGAAAGTTCACTGAAACTCAACTACATGCTCACTAGGAATTGTGATAAGAATGTTAATTGCAACATTGTTTGTGAAAGTGAAAGGTAAAAGGGAGGGGGAAAAAATGAAACTATTCTTTAGAAGAAGTTATTATGGCTTAATCATATAATGGAATACTAAAAAACAGCTAAGATTATTAGATCTATACAAATCAACATTGAGAAATCTTCAAAACAATGTTAAGCAACAAAACAACAGCAAAAACACGTATAAGGGTATAATTGTGTATATTTTTTATAGATATATCTTGTATATAGACAGGAATATATGTAGTGAAAATATAAAAATGTGCAAAGGTAATAATTGAACACAACTTCAGAATGATGATAGCGGTAGGGCAAGGGGTAGATTAAGCTTTAGCAATATCTGCAATATTTTAAATCTTTAAAAAGATCTGAAGCAAAAACTACAAAATGTCAACTGTTTAACCTTCATGGTGGGTATACAAGCTATCTGTTACATTACTTTTTTTCTTTATGTTTGAATTTTTCATATATTAAAATATTTATTAAAAATTAACTAATAAATAATCAAGTGTAGCTAATATTTACCGTGTATTTTCCACTCGTTGAATCCCCCAAAGATCTAAACCATCTTCAGTAAGAGTTCCAGTCTAAAAAAAAGTACATATACAAAGTATGAATAATGCCTCCAAAAACAAAAATCATGAAAACCTCTGCTACATATACACCATGGAGAACTATATACAGCTGTAAACAAACGAATGAAACAGTAAGAGTTCCATATATTGATAGAGAATAACTTCCAGGACAAATAGTGAAAGTGGGGAAAGGGTGCAGAACACTCTTACGGTATGAATCCTCTATTTATAAGAGGGCATATTTGTACATCTGTGTATTTATAGACTTATATTATTAAAAAAAACACAAAGTAGTGGAACAATGCACCAATTAACCTTTAAATCAAAAGGATGCCTACACGGGAGAATGAGATCAAAGCATAAAAAGGAAGGGAACAAGTTAAATTACATCAGGGGAAGCAATCAACCAAATACAGGATATAAATGACCTGGTTTCTTCAACCAAATGATTGGGAAGAAAAGCAACTGTTACAGATGAATTGTAGCTAATGCAATCATTTGGATTCTGACTTAAAAACAAACTAAAATTTTAGGACTTCTTTTTAGAAAAGCAGGGAAATGTGAATATGAACTAGATATTAGATAATACTAAGGAATTGCTAATTTTAAGTGTCGTAGACAGTTATTGTAATTTTTTTAAAAACACATAGAGATACATACTGAGGCATCTGGGTGAAATAATGTCTGATGCTGCCACCTTCAAAACGAGAAACTAGACAAAGATTGACAAAATGCTAATAACTGTCAAAGCTGGGTATTGGGTACATGAGGGTTTATTATACTTAATCCTTCCTCCACTTTACGTCTGCTTAAAAATTTTATTAGTAATGTTTCCAAAGAAAAGCATAACTGAAATTTTCTAAACAGATAAATATGAAATTTAGTCTTAGAATGTGATCTTTTTTAACACAATATTTGTTAAAAAATATTTTGTCTCCTTTGAGTGGTGAGCACATGATGCAATATACAGATGACATATTATAGAATTGTACATATTAACCAATGTCACCCCAATAAATTTAATAAAAAGTAAAACGAAAGCAAATGCAAAAAAAATACTTTGTTTCCCATTTTTTTCTTTAATAATGAAGATGCACAAAAATCAAATTCTTATCCTATCAGCTACCCAAGTTTAATTCTCAAAATAAAACTTTTAGGCAAACTAATTTCAGTTGAGAAAAGGAAAACGCTTTGTAAGAGATGAGGTATATTTCACACAGGTACAAAATTTTTTATTTTCACATAAAATAAAAAGATTAGTGACCTTCATTATTTTTATATATATTCAATAAGTCATAGAGCGAACACTAAACATAATTAATAGCAATAAAAGTCCAGTAAATATATCTGTATGGAGTATATTCTGTCAAAAACATGAAAGATTAGAAGGTCTTCACTACTACTACTACTACTACTACTACTACAAGACATAATTTTGGATCTGAATGATTAGACAACTGCAGATTTGGGCAAATAAGCAATATCCAAAATATTAAAAATTGAAAAAATAATTAGAGATATACAAAAATGCTACATATGCCAAGTAAGTTGAAAAAAAAAGGACCCTTAAAAAATGTGTACAAATTGGTTGATAAAAAATATAGAAAACATTAATCTAAGTATTTAAAATCTACAAGGTGATAGTGATTATGATTTGATAATGATTATGAGGCCCTGGCCAGTAGCTTAGTTGGTTGAAGCATCATCCCAATACATTGAAGTTGTGGGTTCAATTCCCAATCAGCACACATACATGAGAATGATTATGAAACTGAACCAACCTTGTCAAAGCAAACAAGATTCAGCTGTCCACATATATTTATCCTTTGGGGACTGATGCAGAAAATACCAATTTTTTTCAGTCTTCTTTGAGCATACACAATACCAGCAGTCATTGCAGCAGGAAGTGCAGGTGGCACAGTGATTGTAATGATATCAAGAGACTCGATAATTATTACTCCAATCTCCACCTATAATTCACAGAAAAATAAGTGTCAGACCCCCTCCTCCCCAATATTTACTAATCTAGTAAGGGTATTTCTTTAGTGAAAAATCTATAAACCATTTTCAATTTTATATATAACAAGTGTGTGTATATAAACACTTCTATTAGCCCTTTGTAATCTTTCCCTTAGAAATTCTGTAAAATAGAAAGTTCAATATATTGTCAATGGACTGTGGAATGACAGCTATTTTTAAAGAAAACTCTCCTTTGATAGCTCTACATAATTCACACACTACACATTTTGAAGTTCAACAAACATTTGTCAGATACTGACTCTTATTACAAGCACTGTACTGTACCAGTCTTTACAGGAGATAGAAAAGAGAAATTTGACAAGGTCCTCAGCTGTATCTTTAATTAAGTAATAGCAAATAATTTTAATGCTATATATCCCAGAAGTTAAAAAAAGAGAAAATAAAGCTTTTGGTATGTGGTTACCTCTCTTTTCTTAAGTCACAAAAGAGCAAGTGAAAGACCATCTAAACCAAAGCCATTCAAAAAAAACTTCCTGCTATGATGGAAATGTTCTGTATCTGTACTTCCAAATATATAGTAGCTACTAGTATCATATGGCTTTCAAAAGTTAATTTAAATTACATTAAAATTTTAGTTCTTCAGCCTCACTAGCCACTTTTCAAATCCTCAGTAGTCACATGTGATAATTAAAACTCAAACCCTGCCCTAGCTGGTTTGGCTCAGTAGATAGAGCATAAGCCTGTGGACTGAAGGGTCTCAGGTTCAATTCCAGCCAAGGGCACATGCCTGGGTTGCGAGCTCGATCCCCAGTGGGGGGCATGCTGGAGGCAGCCAATCAATGATTCGCCCTCATCATTGATGTTTCTAATTCTCTCTCCTTCTCCCTTCCTCTCTGAAATCAATAAATATATATATATATATAAAAAGAAAAAAAACTCAAACCCTACTAAGAGTTCCATGTACATACCTCATTTAAAATGCTATTGATAATAGTGTAGATAAACCCAATGGCAGCCACCGCCACAAGACACAGAAGAAACAAGTAGGCATCTCTGTAGAGTTTAAAATCTGTTGGTTTGGGATACAATATGGAACGAACAAGCTGTCCTTTGGAAGTACTAAATCCTTTTAAAAAATTCAAAGAAGAAAATTACTTATATATTTATTAAAAAATGAGAATTATCTCTCAGAAGAGAATATTTATTTATTCATTCATTTATTCATTTATGTATTACTAGAGGCCCGGTGCATGAATCGTGCACCGGGCCTGTAGTATGCATGTAAGATCTTTGGTTAATCTCTTCCCATCCTCCCCTCACCTCCCTTCCCTCTGAGATTCATCACTTTGTTCCATGTTTCCATGCATGTGCATTGAGCATCTGCCCCCTGGTGGTCAGTGCATGTCATAGCTACTAGTTGAACAGTCACTTAGGCTTTTATATATAGACTAGAGGCCCGGTGCACAAAAATTTGTGCACTGGCCGGGGGGGGGGGGTCTCTCAGCCCCACTTGTGCCCTCTCACAGTCTGGGACCCCTCGGGAGATAACGACCTGCTGGCTTAGGCCTGCTCCCCAGTGGCAGAGGGCAGGCCCAATCCCTAGGTGCAGCCCCTGGTCGGGCTCAGAGCAGGGCCAATTGGGGAGTTGGGGCGCCACCCCCTGCCATGCACAGAGCAGGGTGGATCAGGAGGTTGCAATGCCACCCTCAGTCACACTCAGGGTAGGGCCGATTGGGGGGTTGGGACGCCGCCCGCTGTCACACTCAAGGCAGGGTCAATGGGGAGGGTGTGGCGCCACCCCGTCACGCACAGAGCAGGGCAGATCAGGGGGTTGTGGTACCACCTCTGTCACATACAGAGCCAGCCGAACAAGGGGTTGGGGCGCTGCCCCCTGTCACGCACAGAGCAGGGCCCATCAGGAGGGTTGGGGCTCCATACCCTGTCACACACAGAGCAGGGCCGATCAGGGGGTTGGGGAGCTCCCCCCTATCAGGCACAGAGCAGGGCCGATCAGGAGGTTGGGGCGCCGCACCCTGTCACGAACAGAGCAGGACGGATAGGGAGGTTGTGGCCCCAACCCGTCACACACAGAGCCGCAGGGAGATAAGGGGGTTTGGGCGCTGCTCCAGGGGCCAGGAGGCCTCGCGGCTCCGCTGATCATGGTGCTGGGGGGCATATTACCCTTTTACTATATAGGAGAGCGGCCGGGTGCACGGGTGGGGGCCGGCTGGTTTACCCTGAAGGGTTCGCTGGATCAGGGTGGGGGTCCCGCTTGGGTGCCTGGCCAGTCTGGGTGAGGGGCTGGGGGGTGACTGAAGCTCCCCACCACTCCTTTTTTCCTTTATTTATTTTTTATTCTTGGATTTATGGCTGTCACTGGAGCTGAGAGCCAGCTTTAGCTGTGAGATCCCGCTGCTTAAAGCAGGTTTCTGGCTTTGTTTACTTTCTGTATTTGAAACTTTGTTGAGACTCCAGCTCTGAGATCCCGGCTGACTGAAAACAGGTTTCTGGGGTTTTGTTTAGCTTCTATATTTGTAACAATGTTTCTTAGCAGCTCAGAGCCCAGCAGCGACAGGCAGGGAATGTTGGAGTCCTCCGTCACTGAAGCAAGCAAGCCTCGTGTTCGTGTCAGTAGCCTGGCTGCCAGCAGCCATCTTGGCTGGGAGTTAATTTACATATCGCCCTGATTAGCCAATGGGAAGGGTAGCGGACGCACAGCTAATTACTATGTTTCTCTTTTATTAGATACGATAGATATATTGGCTTCGGGTGTATAGCTTAGTGGTTAGACAATCATATAATTTACATAGTGTTCTCCTCGATATTTCCAGTACCCCAAGTGGCAGCATACATAGTTATCACAATATTCAAAACAGAATCTCTTTTTAAACATTCAGTAGATGTCAAATATGCAAGAAGAGATATGTTCTTACCTGTTCTAACTACTATGGCCTTGACAAGCTCTCCAGTGTAGAAACGAGTTTGAATAACAGTAGTCCCACAAAACAGAGTGTGTCGTTTATGTATTTCTGGACTATATAATTCATCTCCCATTCCTTTTATGTCCACTGAAGGATTTGGCAAATTCGTCTTTGTCACTGGAACACTTTCTCCTTAAAACAAAAATCATAAGTTAAAGCATAGAAATCAGTGGCAAACACATACAACTTGAAGTGTTAAGTAACCTAAATGTTATCATACTGTTTACAATTGCTACTAAAGTAGAGTTCTCATAATGGATAACATAACTTACTAAATTCGTTTTTTGGCTACCTATTTCCTTAAGCCAATATATCAAATCTTGTCTCCCACAATAATTCCTGAAGTGATCTAATTCAAAGATAATGATTTTTAAATGATTGTGTCAAGTTTCAAATAAGGAGACCAGGTAAGAGTTGCCTTAGCCCCAGCAGCTGTTCTCTTTCTTATCCCTAAGAACTGAACTGGAAAGTGCTCTGCAGCCTCCAGCACACAGAGATGTGAAGACCTATTCCTAATCCCCAGACACAGACACAGACACACACACACACACACACACACACACACTCACACACACACACACAAAAGTGCGCGCATCTGGAGAAGGGAGATAATAATACATAGTACGGTAGTTCTCTCAAACAATTAACAAACAAATTCTTTTTAACACTGAAATTTAATTCTGTGTAGCATCCACAATTCTCGCTTCAAGCCAACAAGCGTATGGGGATATAGGTGTGAGTGTGTTTTAAGAAAAGATTCTTAAGTTTGAAAACATTATATAGGAATCACTTTCTTGCCAGACTGACTATGACAATAAAAAAATTCATATCACAAAAAAGATATAGAGCTCTATCTTCAGATTGTGAATTTCCAAAAAGAAATCATTTTGAAGTCTACCTTTCCCCAACTTGAAGAAAAATACAATGTTTAGTCCCACTGTTTACACATCAAATAAGGAAGCAAATACACTGCATTCTCTGTAGGCAAGGGCTTCTTTTTTCTTCCCTTACTATAAAGCATTTCCACATATCAGAAAGAGTAAACAGGAGCATGCCAAGAAATGCAGTGATGACGAGCATGGTGACTTAGTATCACAGCTGAGTATAATGCAGAATTTGGTTTCCTCAGAATAAAAATAAAAAGCAAAAAATCACTTCAATATCCATGACATTCATAAAGAAAAGATAAACAGCACAGCTAATTTTGAAATAGATTCATCAGCAACCACTTAATCTACTCTCACAAACAACTCATCTGATTTTTCCTCATTTCATTTAGTTTACCTGTTAACATGCTTTCATTTACAATGCAAGTACCATTAATAAGTACTGCATCACAAGGCATGATAGTCCCATTTAATGGAATGACCATAACATCTCCCGGCACAAGTTCTGTAGAAAAGATCTCTTCTTTTTCTGGATTTAAAGAAAGAAAAAAAAAAGTGGGAAAAAATATTCTTTAACTTAGAATAAACATAAGCAAACAAAAGGTCATCTGATCTCAATGAGATGTCAAATATAATGGAGTTAACAGAAAAATTCCAATAAACAAAATGTTTCAACAAATAAAATGATTATTCCTTAGGCCAGTGGTCGGCAAACTGCGGCTCGCGAGCCACACGCGCCTCTTTGGCCCCTTGAGTGTGGCTCTTCCACAAAATACCGACTTCTGCACATGGGCCCCGAAGTTTCAATCGCACTGGACATGCGCCCCCGCACATGGTTTTACCATACCTAAGATCTGGAAACAGCCTAAGTGCCCATCAGTAGATGAATGGATTAGAAAACTGGTATTATCTACACGATATTCTATGCTGCTGTAAAAAAGACACGTGGTATTTTGTGGAAGAGCCACACTCAAGGGGCCAAAGAGCCGCATGTGGCTCGAGAGCCGCAGTTTGCCGACCACGGCCTTAGGCTAACACAGCATGGTGTTTAATGTCCGCTAGTTTGTCCCAACAGGAAACTAACTGTGCACAGGTAATGCCAAGTCCTCTCTGACCAAACAAGGTGGGTGGGCTCCAACATTCATTACAACACTTAAGGATCAATTTTAGCTAATAGCCCATTTAGAAAATAGTAAGTCCTATTGAGATCCCCTGCAATGGGTAAACATACTCCGATTTCCATAATCCCTTGAAAATGGAAACATTGAAAATTTTAGCTACTCTTCCTTTTTTTTTTTTGGTTGCCTCTTATTAAAACTTTATTGTTAATATTATTACATTTGTTCCTCTTTATCCCGCCCCCCCATAGCTCCCCTCCACCTGGTTCCCACCCCACCCTCTGCCCTTACCACCCCAATCCTTATCCATAGGACATTGTGTGTACAATTTTTGTCCAGTCTCCTTCCGCACCCCCAACACCCTTTTCCCCCTGAGAATTGTCAGTCCACTCCCTTTCTATGCCCCTGATTCTATTATATTCACCAGTTTATTCTGTTTATCAGATTATTTATTCACTTGATTTTTAGATTCACTTGTTGACAGATATGTATTTGTTGTTCATGATTTTTATCTTTACCTTTTTCTTCTTCCTCCTCTTCTTAAAGGATACCTTTCAGCATTTCATATAATACTGGTTTGGTGATGATGAACTCCTTTAGCTTTTCCTTATCTGTGAAGTTCTTTATTTGACT